CTAACCACAGACTAGTTTCACTTTGCAAACGCAGACCCAACCCTACTGCATTATTATTCATCTGACCAGTTTTCTTCTCCAATACAATATGATGGCCACATAAATATTGTTCCCACATAAGAGCTTATTCAAGCTCTAAATCTCAGTGGCTGCTGGGTCTTATTTTTAGCCCTCTTATGTGCCTCCTGGTTTGCAGCACTTGGCTCTCTAGCATTACTGCATGCGATATTGATGCTGAGTGGTACTGGCATCCAGCACTGGGTTCTTCTGTGTTTCCCAAATCCAAACGTCATTCCCTGATTTTGAACCCTTTGAGTCACTGTTGCCTGGCTTTCTCCACTATTCTTGTTTAATTATGGATGTTAAAAGACATCATTTCCGTAGTCTTTGCCAACAAGGTTACAGGCAGCTAATTAAACACATTTACTGCAAATTGGAAGAATGACTTAACTAGTTCATCCAATGTAAAGGCTTTACCACTGAATGTGAGCAAGCATTTTAATTTAATTGCTGTAACTGGCAACATCAAAAACTATAATTTCCATATTCAGTTAATGAAATTTTTCAAAATATGAAGTGGCACCCCTGTGTTTTTTTATTATCTCACAGCTTTTCACATTTCAATCTAACAAAGCAATTAAAGGCATTGGAGGATTCTGCCGATCATTCTATTGTGTGGCGGTAGTTATTTATCTATAAAAGGAGACTGATAAGATAAAGAGAGGGAAGTTTGGAGCTCTATCCCCTAAGGAAGGAAGCAATAATAAAGACCATCTATCAAGTGAAGTGTTATAGGGACTACACTCTTGTTTTCAAGCTAGACACCTGCTCTGTAGTGCTACATACACTGCTGCTACACATGATACAGGTAAACTTGAACTCTTTTTCCATATATCTAGTGCCCACATTTAGCCATTTCGGTGTAATTTGATCCAGATTGTTTGCAAATTATGTATTATCACCAGATCACCTCACATATCACCTTTCAGGCTAGGAGCTTCATTTAGCTAGCTTGTTATCAGTGGTCAGAGCACATTTTTATTTCAATTCATTTCAGTTTATTTGTGTAGCACCAATTCATAACAACCTTACATGATCAGGTCTAGACCTTACACTGTTGTATGGAAAACCCAACAAATCCCTCTTGAGCAAGCACTTGGTGACCTAGAGTAGACCTAGGAACACTCATTCATTCTATCTGAGAAAAGCACCAGATCAGTGTGCATAATCATCAGTGATCGTGCAGACTGGTAAAATTCCATCAGCAATACCAAATATGCACATTTATAATCCAACTGTTCTTAGTGTAAGAAGGTAAGAATCACAAAACTGAGCCAAATTGTCATACCAAGTTGCCAGAAAATGATAAGATGACATCTTTAAAGGAGAAGCTGGTGATTTTCTTTGTTTTTGTTATTTTCCACAAATGTCAATGAATCCAGAAACTGTTGAAGTTAATTCGTCTGTTATGCAGACCTCCATTGTTGTCCAAAAACTGTTACAAACACAGCAGTGAGCCATACTGCTGCTGCATTGGGTGACATGTTTCTTGCTCTAGAAATATAGAGGTACTTGTGTTATTATGTGTAGCACAAGAAGCTAGTGCAAACAGAGCAGAACTCACCTGTAGTTGACCCCTTCTCACTTCAGTGACTGCACAAAGTGGCGACTATTGGTTAGCGCTTTGCGCTCTCTCTTTTTTTTTTTTAACAAAACGTAACACACATTTTTTGTGAAAAGCCACAGCTGCAAGGCTGTGGCTCACTGGTGTGCTTTTAATAGTAATAGTTCTGGAGAACAATGGAGGTCTTTTGCACAAACAAATAAGCTAAACAGGGGTTTGGGCTCACAGACATTATGATTGTTGGTTTTAGCCTCTCTATAGAATTTGTGGAAGATAACAAAAAGAAAGAGAAAAATTCTTATCTAAGCAGTATGTTTGTAAGCGTGTGCGTGTGTTACATAGCAGGCACATCAACAGCAGGAGCATCACAGCTGTTGGTAATTTAATGAACATCCATTTATGGCACCTGAGTTTGTCACATGATGAATAGATGTTGTGAAAATACAGAAAACAGATATTAGTTGCTGATGAGCCACAATTATACCGCTGCCTCCAACTGAGGGCAATTTTCTGACTGATTGAAATAGCTCGATGTGATTGGCCTTGACATCTTCTGGCCTTTGACCTGTATTTGCTGCTGGGTCTACTGCATCTTGGAGTGAGCTGCAACTGAGGTTCATGCAAACAAGACAGAAGGACTGTGTTTGAATGATATATTATGAAGCAATGTGGAAAGCACTTCACTGTGGCTGATAGTGAAGGTAGGGGATTGTTTCAGATTACTGTCATAGTTGTACTGCTGTGCAATTCTTCACCTCCTTAGGTCTTCACCACTGAGTCATCAGTCACTGTAATTAATTAGCTCCCTCTCCTTATTCTCCTCCTGGGGGAAGACCATGATTGAAGAGGAGAGGAAGGAGAATAAGAAAATATTTCAGTCTGACTATATTTTACCTGTCTCACACTTCACCTTTGTAACACTATCACCATGACCACATCATGTAGAAGTTACCATAATTACAATGTTCACATTTTTGTACACAGTGAGGTTTTGCACACCCTTTAACTAATGCCCCTGAACTACAATTAGCGCTCTTGAAAACCTGAAAGTCTGATTAGAGTGGCGGAGGTAGTGTTAGAAAAACCCAGTTCTTTTGTTGAAAGTGCAAGAAGAGAACACAGAAGAGGACTGTATAAAATCAACAGAAAATTTAATCAAAATCTGGTCACATGGTAAAGCTATACAGCGCTGGGCTCTGAGTGACAGAGTCTCCACAGGAAAACCGTTGTCAAAAGCCCCAAGTCATTGTTTCTGGTTACATTTATCTTCTTGGGCGGAGACTGCCCTGTACAGAGGTTGGACTTACATGTATCCTAATTCTGTAGGCTCTTGGTGTGAGCAGGCCAGCCTCTGCCCCTGCCAGTTTACTGAGGTGTGCTGGCAAGCCAGGTGTGTGAATGTTGTGATATCAGGTGGTAGCTAACAATGAATACTGGACAATGGGTTGTCTGTGCTGCAGACCTCCTATCTGTGTGGGCTATTACAGGACAAAGCAGGACTTAGTGAATATGCTAAACCGGCCAAGTGGTCAGTAGGCAAAGATTGAGCTAGTATTTTTATGTTTGCATTTGCTCAGTGTACTGCAACGTTCTAGTTCCATCAGCCAGAGTTGTTGTTCAGGCTAATTACATGTAATTACTAATTTAATGGCTATATTGAGTATGTTTTAATTCTTACATGACCAGTTCTGCAGTCCATGCTCAACACTGACTGAATATTTAAAACTCATTTCTCACTGTGTTCAGACTGCACTTGTATTAAGTTACCACTGAGTGTTTTTGTTATAGAATCATTTGCAAATAATAATTTGTTAGTTACATAACATTACCTTTAATTGTAGCTAATTGTTTACTTTCTCTTTTTGTTCTGCAAGTGTTTAGTGTGCCAGTGTTGGCCCATTTTAGATCAGAACAGATCATGGACACACTGTGGGAATATATACCGTAACATTGTGTTTGCTGCCCAAATTGCAGATTCACAATATAGCAAAATCTCGAACAGTATGTGTTGCATAATCTCCTATTCATTACAGGCATTTGAACCTTTCTCTCTGTCTTTGCTCTCACAAATAGCATAAACAACACATAGCTACTGGCACACTAACTTTCTGAACAGTCACTGCTTGTGCAGTTTTGTTTATACCTGTTGTTCCACAATGCAGGAG